GCCTCCACTGAGAAAAAAATTGATATTGAAGCTATCAAGGAAAAGGTGAAGAACGCAAAGAAGAAGAAATTAGGAGCACTTCCTGTGGAAGAAGTCAAGTTAAAAATTGCAGCAGATGAAAAGAAAAAAAAGAAAAAGAAGTAATACACCACCCGGGATCCTCACTTTTCTCCTATGTTAATGAACATTTTCACACTTGGAAGATTTGAGGCTTCTTGCTGTCAGTATCATGTGGACAAGAAAAGACTAGGTAGAAAGAGATTCTTGTCATAAATACACTTGAATTAGTGGACCTAAAGCAGCTGTGTGGAAATGCCAAGACTGGTGAAGAAAATCTGCGCTGCTGTGTTTGAGAAAGTTGAAGAGTGTATTTGGATAATCTCCATCTGCCTAAAGGGAAGGTTTCATAATAGAAACACTTAAAAATTTGGTGCAGGATGTTAAACATTAGGGTCAGAGAACTCAGTGGGAGTTGAAGGTGATTCTTCTGTGAAAGACTGCCAGACCATACGCAGCCTCAGTTATGGTGATAACTTTTGGAAAATGGGCAAGGTTTATTACTATATTATGCTTTTGTTTCTGTAAAAGCTGATTATTTTTGCGTGTCTTGTCTTGGTGTTAATAAACTCTTTTAATACATTGTTCTTAAATCCTTTAGTTAATCTTCTGCTGCACAGGCTGCATGTTGTTTTCCAAGAAACTTGCAGCTTCTTGTGAGAATTAGACAAACTGTAATCATAACTGAATGTCATTAATAAACTGTCATTTATTAGTGTTATCCTGGAGGCTGTGAGGCAGAACATGATACAAAGCGAGAGTTTTTGCACATGGAATATGCTGCAGGGAAAGCATAAAGTCTTGTCTTTAAACATATTCTTAATTTATTTCCAGCTTGCAAGAAAGTATAAGAAATCGTGTTTCCCCCTTTTTTTTTTTGAGGCCCTTCCCCTTTTTTGAAGGAAGTTTAAAGGTTTTTAGTTTCCTGAAAATGCAAATTGTGATGAAATAAAGTTCACCGGAAGAGCCGATGTTGCTTATTTCATACATCCGAGATTAAAGAAACAAACATAATGATTAGAAGGTGGTAGAGCCACCCCAGTTTCATGACTGCTGGAGTGCTTTTGCCAGGTTTGGGAATTTTGATCCCCTGCACATGCATTGTAAATGATTTATTCTAGAACTTTGCAGCTCACTGCTCCTAGGTTAGTGACCTTTTATTTGAAACTAGTAAGTGAAAACACAGCCATTTCCTTTTTTATATATATAAAAAAGAATTTAGGATGTATGTGGTTAAAAAGCCAGTATGTTTGCATTGAGAAATAGCTAAGATGCTTGCCCTTTAGGGTAGGGAACAACATTAGCTTTAGCTTGCCTTTCAGTTATGTGATCGTTGCTTGGCACGGAATTGTTAACGGAAAAAAGCTCTCACTACTTTTAGGGACTGTGTTGCTCCTAAATGGCTGTTTCATTACTTGTGGAATCAGTCAGAAAAATACCTCTTCAGCAGGTATTTCACTGACAATATGATCAGTAAGTCACAAACGCCTGTCTCAGAAACTGCAGCGAGCTGATGGGTTTAGTGATGCCAGCACCATGAGAAGCTCTTTAGAAACACCAATTGGTGTTCAGCAGTTGACAGCGTAAAGGGGAGACCAAAGTTCCGTACCAGTTGGGTGTTCAGACCTCGCGCAGTAAAAGGACTAATTTCAACAGGAGGCACTGCAACTCTTGAGTTTAAATGGCTGGTTTTGCAATATGATCCCAGGAAAGAGGGCTTCCACGGATTTTAAAGAAGCCAGTAAGGAGGAGTCTGACTGCAGCCAGAAAAGGAGCGTGAGTGTTTTAGAAGAGAGAGAATCTGTGGTTTTAACCTGTGCTGGACGAGGCACCTTTCACTGCAGAGGACTGGCAAAGACGTTCCTCTGTTGTTTAAAAAGGTAAAATTAAAACCAAGTGTAGGGCTGGTTGCCCTGCACTGGACTTGCAGGCTGACGTTTCATGTCAGGAACCTGATGTAGCTGAAAGTGCTCTACAAAAAAGTGTTTTCCAGCTGCATCAGCTAACTGCCTAGTTGCCTGAGTTGCAGTGCAGGAAAACAGCTTAGCCTGGTGGCAGCGTGGCCTTAAATGATATATGCTTCCGTGGAAGTATGCTTTTTTAATTTAGGACCCACAACTAAGGCATCTATATGGCTTTTGCATCAAATCCCTACCCATAGTAAAACTCTTGGCAGGCTTCAGGGAATCTTGTCCTTCTGTTGTTACAGGGTGAAAAGACTTCACATTGTGTTTAATCTTGTTCGGTTGCTATGGTTGGCAGGTCTCGCGGATTGTTGGTTGGACATTTGTTTACTTAAACTGGAAAATCAAGAAAGCTTACTCATATTCCTGTAGGCAAGTTAAAACAAAGGATTTGTCTGGTTAGAGTCCGTATCTGAGGGGTGACTGGCTGCATGGGCACACTGTTGGTGATTTTGCACCTGTTTTCTGAGACAGTATGTCTCTAGGTTCTAACACTTGTATGAAAAGCAAAGAACAGAAAAACAAAGTGGATTTGGAAGGGTGAAAAAGTGGTTTTGGTATTTTCAGAACAGCTTGAACTATAGCAAATTATCTCCTTTAACTGATTTTAAAGTTTACATACTTGCAAAAAAGTACAGGAAGGCTGTATTTCTGTATCAGTGTTTTGCTTTTTTTATATAGAATTCATGGGCATATGCCATAAAATAAATGTGGACAACTCAAAGTGGCTTGATCATCAGGAGTTAAACATCTGGATTCTTGGATGTTCTTAAAAGGAGATGCAGTACTTGTTTAGCTTTGAGTTCTTGACTTTCAGGCTTTTTTGTTTGAAAGATACCATCTTGTAAAGTTTGGGTTATTTTTTCCCTGAGCCCCAGTGATTTAGAGGTTTTTTAATGAAGCTTTTTCCATGGTATTTCCTTAGACCTGCTGAAGCATATAGTTAAATAACAGTGCTGTGAACGTTTTGAACTTTAAGGGCTCTGTGTTCATTCCGTTTACTCTCCTGGAAGCCAAGCATAGATTAAACTAAGCAGGGGAGAATTCCTCCTGAGCTTATTTTTGCTCCCTGGGCACAGCAACGGATGCTCTTCTCTCTCCTGCATTTCTCTTTGCAGCAGTAGGATCCAACTGCACATGGCTTTGGCGGGGCGGGCTCTGTGCCGGGCTCCGTGCTGGGGTGGGAGCCCCGTGCCAGAGAGCGTACCCAGAGCACTGGATCCTGCTGCCCACGTGCCGCTCACCGTCCCGTTTTCGGATGGGACTTTGCAGTACCTGGAGCTTGAGGCTTGGGTCATGCACAAGAGTGGCAAAATGACAAGTGCGGAGGAAAATAGCTGCTCTTTTTAACAGATCAACCCACGGTCTTGATTTTGCAGTGGGATTTTTTTTCTTTTTTAAACACCCTAATCTGCCCAGTTTGGAAGACAGAACTGAGCTTGGCTCTCTCACAAGTAGGCCAGCATGGGTACTGGACCCTGGTCACTGGAGCATGGGGAAGCAACTGCTCATCTGCTGCCTGCGAGTGTGATGTCTTGGCTATGGAGGCTCTGGCGGCCAACAAACTAAATATAAAGATATATAAAGGGCAAAGTTTGGAATTTTGTCCCCAGCCATATTTGCATTTTGAAAGATGAATTAATTAGGAAATGCCATGATGGTGAGACAATTCAAGTGTAAGCAGTTAACTACCTGGAAGAATAACATGAGAAAATTTGGGTCCCAGTTCCAGTGTTTTCAGTTAAGATCCACCCCAGCAGCAGGGTCAGGAGCGGGTATGCAGGGGCAGTACCCCAGAAACGAAGCATTGAGGGGAACTTCCTGGCTTCCTTTACAGAAGTGCGTGTCTGTCCTCTGCAGAGGGGTGTGGTGCAGAGGCATCTCAACCTGTCTCTGAGTAGATACGGATCGCTGTGGTCCAGCCGTGAGCTTGTGCAGCTCTGCTCCTTCCAGCTTCTGCTCAAGCTGAGCGACTGTGGTCTGTAGAGGACGTGCCCAGCTGAATACAGCAGCTATCTCTGCTGCTTTTTGCCTGCTCCAGATGTGCAGGGTCCAGGAAACTCATCCCTTGCCAGCTACTGAACCAAAGGCACAGCAGGATTTTATCTGGAGGTTCATGCTCTTTCCCAGCATTGTGTTTCTCAGCATTGTGCAGGTTGGAGCTGAACATGGAGGTTTTTTGTGCACCAGCAGCTAAGCTTTAGATCGTGTTGCAAATACACCATTATCATACATAGGAACTAGGAAGTTATTAATGATTTATTGTTTGAAACAGCAGTCAAAAACTCTATGCTCAGAAAAAAAGAAACAGGAAAGACTGCAGCAATACATAAACATGTAAACACAGGCGAAACTCTGTCTTGGCACAAATGACGTGTGTGTAAAACCAAATTCTAAGCAAAGAAAAGTACCAATGGCCCCAGTGCACTGCAAGACTGGGAAACTCGCTGCCTGCCACAGGATCCAAATGCCAGAGCTCACATGGGTCCAAAAATTATCAGAAAAAAAATATTTAAATTAAAAACCTCTCCAGGCAACACTGCGTCTTGCTGGAGGAAAGTTCAAGGAAAGAGCACAATAGGAAGGAGAGAGGTGTGTGCTCTGTCTGCAGCCTTGGCTGGGGCCGTGGCCAGGCTCCTGGGCTGGGCACCCTCCAGCCCTTCCTAAGCAAGCATGGCAGGCAGCCTCAGTGCCTGCCCATGCCTGGGCAGCGTGCTCCCTTACCCACCGGATCCTGCTCGCACCACTCCGCTTTGAAATAATACCTAGGTAATTTAAAACCAGTCACTGGTTTCTAAGTGATGAGAAAGCTGCTTATCAGCTCTCCTAGCTGCTGCCTGCAACGAAGATGGTATTTCTGTACTTCTAGATCACCTGTGGATGCAAACAATGTCTCTACCGATCGTTGTGCTGCCGGTAACTTATGTGCAGGGAAGGGACGAGTTGACCTAAGTGCTCTTGTGGTCTTCTGCATGTGTGTCACTCGCTGGCGGGTGCTATAGACGAGTATTTTGGTAGGAGCCAGGTGGCCAGAGTTGTCAGTATAAGGAGTAACGGCCTTAAAGCAATCACGGTGATGCAGTACTCGTCACACGCAGGTTTGTCCCACTCTGGACGCCATGTGGAATCGCCTACGAACAAAACAAGTTACTTGTTTTCAAGTGTAACTGCACCAAGGGCAACAAATGCAAGCAGTGATTCTGGTGGTACTTACTAATGACTTTGTCACGCTCTGCATTTTCTGGAGAGAGAAAAGACATGACCGTAAGCAGACTTACACATTATAAACAATTTAAGTCTAAGCAAAAGGGAATGAAGTGTGAGCCTCACAATGGGCTCACAAATGCAGCTATGGGACCTGCATTTCTTTCCAGGAAGAAGCTAAGACCCGCTGACTTCAGGAGACCCCTGCAGTGACTCTCGGGGCTTTGTTGAGGGGCGCTTGATCACACCATGTTGACTTCTTCTCCCACCAGTGGCTGGCATAGAGAGGACTTGCTCCCCTAGGAGTGCTTCCCAAGATCATTTTGGCTTTTGACCAGTGCCTTACATTTAAGGTCCTCAGCCTGTAGCTAACATTAAACAGTCCCATGCATCAGGGACTCCCTCTTGTTTTTGCAGTGCTGGTGTTTTAACACCACCTTCCCACTCCTTTACTTTGCCCAGGGTCGAGTGCTAGGGAAAAGTGTGACCATATCCTCAGCTCCGCCCCGGGCAGATGTCAATGGCACAATGCCTTGTCCTTCTTATAGAAATCACAAAAGGTCTCCCCCTCTCCTGACTCCATCCAGCCATTGCAAAGCCAAGTGCAGGAGAATCAGGTGGACTGCCAGGGGCTCAGGCTGAGCACCGCGTCCCTGTGAAGGGCTCTCTTGTGTCAGCCTGGCTCTCTCCCAGTGCTTAGGAGAAAGCAGATGGCCTGGCTGATGTTCACTGGAGCGAGCAGCTTTGGCAGTGCCATGGCAGCTCTGCCCTCCCGCAGTGGCGTGGTGTGGACAAGGCAGGCTTGGACCTGCACTAGCTCAAGTGGCAGCTCATGCACCAGGTAATAACTTGGAGGACCCGGGAAAGGACATGTATCCCCTTCTGTGCCTCCCATTTCTGCAAGCAGTAACTCCTGGCAGGGATAATAACATCTTAAACTGCAGCCACCCTATCTTCTGTATCATACCCTCCACCACTCAAAGAGCAGACCCCATCCCGTCACTCCCTGGGGTAGAAAACAGGCTCCTTCTGCCCTCCTCCGCTCTCTATGTATCACTGCTCACTTGGCTTCTGACTGCAGTTTTTCAGACTATATTTAGGAACAGGAGAGCGCTGTGCCTGACTCCTGCTAGTATCTTTTGCATGGTCTTTCCCTTTCTACATGCACTTGGGTAGGAGGGCTGGTCGTCTTCTACTTACGACACAGTTGGCTGGCACACTGCTCGCCATTGCAGTCGCTGCATGCTGCTCCAGTCTTGTATGGGCGTCCTGGGTAATTCCCACTGCAAAAGAAAGTCACGCTGCTCTCAAACCACCCTTGGGAGGAGAATGTTAGTACCTACTGCTAATTAGTGTTTAACGTGGGTTTTGCTTCACTGGTGTTGACAGGGAGATGGTTTTTGGACGGTTCCTGCCTGAGTGCCCTGTGCCCGAGACACACAGCGAAGCAGAAGAGGTTGAGTGTAGTGGGGCACCCTGTTTAGTCTTAACGCTGGATAATTTGTGTGTGTGGAGACTGGGCTCTCAAAGCTGGGTCTAGGCTATGGGAGCAAAAGCAGATCAGTTTCTATGTATACACGTGTGCATTTAACCTTGAAGAGCAATCTCTGGTGCTGGAGGATCTCTCATAGGTAGTGATTTCATCCATTTGTTGGTAAATATTCTAGGAGTGAAGTGTGTCTCCCCCTGCTCTCTCCCTCTGCCAGCAGCATGAGTGGCACCAGTTCCCTCTGCCCTGGCTCTTGGCTCCGTATTACCTGTCCACCTCTGAAACTGCACCGAATGCAGCTCAGTGCTTGGCTTGCCTTGGAGCATGGCCAAAGCCAGATTTACAGCGTGCCTCAAACTGCCTGTAAACACACCAAGAGGGATTTTGTATGCTTGCTAAAATTCATGGTAAAACCTCATTACTTTCAGCAAGGTGAGGCTTTCGTTGCTCGATCTAAGCCGAAGAAAATCCTTTGGAGTATATTCACTTTAGAAATTGAAATTGTGCCTGCATCTTGCTTTGACCCTTGGCAGAGGGCTGCTCTGCTGGGTGCTGTTGAGGGTGAGGGCACCCCTCTCCTTCCCCAAGCGATCCCTGCTGATGCAGGGCAAGCAATCCTGCATGATTTTGGTCCTCTGCACGATACAGATATTGGCTAAGAGGCAAAAGGAGGAAGGCTTGACTCATGTCTTTGGGAGATCCAGGCATGAAGCTCGAGGGACAGAGCGCATGTCCCAGCAGCGCTGGGGTTGTTCCCTGCGCCCAGGGTTTCTGCACCATCTAGCATGGTGGGGTGCAGAGCAAATGCTGAGAAGAGAAAGGAGAGGCTGCCCTGGGTGATAAGAGGCTTTTGTCTCAAGAATCAGCAGAGGCAATGGCCCTTTGGGTGTGGGTCTTCTGGGGAGAGCAGTTTTGTTGCTTTGGCACAGCAGCAGCCGTGTCATTTCAAGGTATCTGGTTAGGGGTATGTATTCTTCCAAGGATGAAGCACGGGCAACAGGAACGCCAAACTTGCTCAAGTTCATGGCCTGGCCTGGCCTTGGCCCAACACAGTATGCGTGTAAAGCTTTGAGGGCTGTATTTGACTGTGGTGGCATTAAGTAACTGGAGAAGGGTGAAAACCATCCATGCTAGCTGGATATCCTACTGGCTATGTGTACGAAGCACCTCTGGATAAAATTCTGCCTTGAGCAGCCCCAGCCTCACGAGCAGCCCTCAGCTGCTAGGACTGCAGCTGCAAGCATTGCACGCTTCAATATTTATCTAAATCTAGAGGCTTCATTCTGCAGGAACACGTGGAAATATTTTCAGACTTTGGGCTTGCACCCTGGGAATTGTCTGGGGCCATCTTGGCACTTAGGAGCAAGGGATTAATTTTCAAATGATCTTTTCAGTATATTCATGTCAGCATCTTATATTTTACCCTTCCTACCAGTGCCACTGCTTTTTTGGTTACAATGCATAGCCCTTATTTAGAAAAAAAAAAAAGCCAGTTGGACAAAGGTGTACATCTTTCTCCAATTTGGGCACTGTCTCCTCCCACAAAACACATGAATAGATGGACTGATCTAATAAAGTTGCACATTGTGGGAGGGAAGGAGTAGGACCCAAACCCTGTGAAATATTTGTAATAAAAAACCTTACGCCGGCCCATAGTTGCAGATGAAGTGTGCTGCGTTGGTTACGGCGGAGTATGCCACCCGGGGACAGAAGTGGACAGCACAGCCAACCTTGTAGCTTGTAGCCCAAACAATCTGCAAAGACAGACGGGTACACCGGTAACAAAAGCTTTGCTTCAGCATCTGAAGCATTACAGAGAAGACCTGCCCTCCTCTGTTTCATGACAACAAATTGGCTGAGGAACACTCCCGGGCAGGCTTCATGGAAGCAAGCAGCCGTAACAGGTCTCAAGATCATAGTTTGTTCCGAAAAACACCTGATTGTTCTGCCCAGTTTGACAGATATTTGTTAAAATGACTCTGAAAGAAAGAATAACTGGGTGTAACCGACAGTTTTTCTTTCTTGCAAAGGAAAAGAGGAAGTTTGTCTCCTTTGCTTCAAGGTAACCAATTAGCTTTCTGTCTTCCCTGCTGTTGGAGATCAGATGAAATCTGTGCAGAAAAGGCCCTGTGATCTGCTACAGCTCCTATGAGGGCTGATTGCCCCTGTACTAAATCCAGCAGAGACGTATCAGCAAATTGCCGGAAGGCACTGGTGTTACAGGAGGAGCAGGGAGAAGGAGTGTGTCTGGGCTGTGGTCCTGCCTTTTAGCATCACAGCCATGATTAAGACAATCTAGAGGCGAGGGCATTACATCATCTAGTGATCCTCTGTCTACCAGAAGCTGTTTAGTTCAATCCAGCTTCCCATATCCAGCTCGAAGATGAGAGTGCTGCCAAATGCTGCAGTCCTGGAAAAATAAACCCTGTGAGGGAAGCAGAGGGGAGACGAGAGCACAGCAGTACCTGAGGGCGACACAGCAGCAGTGATGGCTGACAATGTGGAGATGTGGAAAGATCCTAGTGATCCTCTGTCTACCAGAAGCTGTTTAGTTCAATCCAGCTTCCCATATCCAGCTCGAAGATGAGAGTGCTGCCAAATGCTGCAGTCCTGGAAAAATAAACCCTGTGAGGGAAGCAGAGGGGAGACGAGAGCACAGCAGTACCTGAGGGCGACACAGCAGCAGTGATGGCTGACAATGTGGAGATGTGGAAAGATCCTGGCTCAGTGCAGCGGCAGAGCAGAGGCTTCCAGCCATAGACAACTGCATCCCCAGGGATGGAGAAGGACCGAATCACAGGACCCTCTCCATCCCAGGTGGCCATTGCCTGAGGTGTGTGTTTGTGGTTGTGGTAACTGCATTAATTGTACCGGGGGTAAAATTCTCTTCTCCACAGCTGAGAAGGAGGGAGAGGAACCAGGGATTCCCCGAGAGTGCAGACCCAAGGATGCCTCCCAAAGCTGGCAGACATGGAGCTTCTAGCTACAGTCACTATTGCCACTGACTCCAAGTGAGAATAATCTTATTTTCTTTTTCTCCCCCATGCAACCACTTGGGCTGCTCCTCCGCACCCAACATGATACTCAGCACTGTGCCTTGGTGCCAGGTACGGTGTGTTTCACCGCAGTTTCCAGATGCTGACTCTTATCATGTCCTTGTGAACAAGGTCAAAAAGCAACACGTTGTCACTTCTCACGGCTCCTGCGTCCAAATCACACAAGTACCTGCACATATTGTTCAGACACCCACCAACTTCAGCTCATCTCTTCCAGTCCTAAACACATATGTGTGTCTCCACAGAAAATATTAAATAGCCTCAGGTCAAATCTAATCCCTAGAGCCACTGTTGCAAGCCATCCTGCTCTCCTGTAGCCGTGGCTAAGTGATTGTGGAGTTGCATGGCAGTGGCACTTCTTTCCCTCACTTTGCCCTCTTTCTTTGGGAATTGTGGTTGGGAAAAATGCACACATGATGCTTGCAGAGCTGCAGACATCTCTTGATGTGCTGGTATTTCCCCAGCCTGTGGCATGTGGAGGCTGCCTGCCAGAGCCAGGACCTCATCTCACCATGCGCTGTGGCCCACAGCCATTGCCCTTGCCTGGTTTTTTGCTGCTGCTTGGCTAAATCTGACCGCTTGATGGCTGTCCTGTTTTCTTCCTGAAATCAGAACACAACTATATTTAAAATAATCATGCAGTGACTCTTTTCCTCCCTAACATGGGGACACGAGAACATCTTGTGCACACAGATATAAAATAAGACTACAGCACTTGGGAAACAGTTCACCGAATCTTCAACAGAAACCCAGAGTTTGGGTTTCTGCTGAAGAAAATGGCAATGCTGATTCGTGGTTTAGATGGAGAAATGCAATGCCTACCTGCGTGTAGTGGCCACAGACTCCTCTGCAGTTATTGTTGGCATAATTGTAGGCACTGACCTCGTCGTACCAAGAGGTGATGGCTCCTTGCACAGTAAAAATAGAAAGTGACCCAGTCCAGAGGTTCTCTCCAACGGGGGTAAATTTGGGGTGAGCCTGCCCCGGATCTTTGAGGTATGTATTATGTTTAAACAGGCATTTCTTTGCCCAAGCTTTTGCAGTCTTTGCCAAATCTGGATCCCAGCTCTGCAAAATAAAGACAACTAAAAATCACTCTGGTATCTTAGCAATGCAGAAATTCAGAGCAACTTTCAGGAGAAGCTAGGTCTCAGTAGCGTGTATGCTTCAGGTTCATCTGTTTTTTGCTTCTGCTGAGACTTACAGAGCTACATGGTAAATTGGCTTGTAGGTTCATTTCTGATTTCAACTGAGTTATTCATTAAACTTGAGAAAGTTTCTCGGGTGGCAGGTGATCTTGGCTGACTGGTTTGTGGGGCACCAAGAGCTGTATGTCAGTCAAATACATGTTTTTTTGGTGCAATGTGCATTTCCAGACTGTGCCAGCCATGAGAGAACGTTAATGTAATTTAAACAGTGAATTTACAGGAAATCTGGAGACTGGGGGGTATGCTTGCCATATCAATCAGACCAGAGTCTCATGCAGCCCCATGCATTAACACCACCGCCTACAGATCAGTTCATGACACTCTGGGATTTTGGGGGCAGTTTAAACTCAACCCCTCGGTTTGCATCTTTGTGTTTGGTGGCTTCAAATATGAGTTCTGAATTCATATTTGTGGAATCACTCATTCACTTACTATTCAATCCTACAGAAAGTGGTTATTTAAGCAACTGAGTTATATAGATATCTTTTGTTTGGACTGGAGGTGGTGTCTGGTTTTGCTGAGCTTTCTCATGCACACGACTCGATTGTACCTCCTGGAAAATGCAGTGCCAGGAGTGTATGCCTGTAGTTCCAGTTACACTTTGTGTCATGTAAATGAAGTTGTTCAGTGCTGCTGAACTATTTTGGATTGGACTTTTAAAAAAAAATTGAAAACTTTTTTATTTGTCATTTTCTATACAGATTAAAATATCTCAGTTGCTTCTGCAAACAATAGAATTCCTAGAGAAATTGTTTTGAACAGATCGGTAACAGTGACTAGGAAAAAGCTGGTGGTTAGATTTTATGGCTATATTTTACATAATATAACTTTTCGGTATCATAGTAAGTCTGAAACAGTGTGTATTTTTTATGCTACCAATAAATAATTAAAAATGGCAAGATCATACCAAAATATGTCTACAGAGATTTGATAATATTTTGTAAGCTATGTCTTCCATTTCTTCCTATGTCTAACATTTCAGCAGAGGCAGGTGTATTTTCCCACAAAACTAACACATAAATAATTTGCCTGGGAACTCAGTGTGTCGAATATTAAACTTGAGGCAGACAGGCCTATTTCAAGCAAGCAGCTGATATTTCCTTAGATTGTAACTTTTAAGGACAATGAACAAGATCTGGCATTGTACAGAAGTTATCTTCCAGTCCAAGCATTGCTGCAAGTTAAGACAGAGGCTGCAGTTTCAATCCGGCAATGCCCTGAGGTTGCAAGGAGAAGACCATGATGAAAGATGTATGACAGTGGTGGATGCACCTTCATGCTCCATGGTCTTGTTTTTCACATTCTGCTTTTTAAAAGTCCACACATCTCTCTTGTCCTTCATCCTATACTAGTATTACTAATAAGGTTAAAGCTCCATAAAGGTATACATAATAATAAGTTTAAAGGTAAATTAAGAAGTTTAAATATGCTTTCCCTTTTTTGTGTGAAGGCTTAAACTGGCTGACAGTTGAAAAAGCAATGTGCAGAAACTCACAGTTCAAAATGATCCTTAGTTTAACTATAGTTATACGCCTTATTTGCTTATGAAACTGCATTTATGCTAAAAGATTGGACTAAACCGCATGGGGAAAAAGATGTCCTTGCTTGCGTATCGCTATCATTGCTGTTTGAGAAAATAGTATTTTAATTTTTTTTTTCCATGAACTATTTCTCAGTTTTGGTTTTATAACTCAGATGAGTTGCTGATTTAGGGAGGGAAAATTGAACATATGTTAAGTGAAAAGTGATGCGAGGCAGCAGTAGGTCAAAAGAGACTGTTGTGAAGCCCTGATGAAACTGGTGAGACTCTTTCTGCTGGTTTCGAAGAGCCTTGGAACAGAGCTAAGCAATGCTTTGGGTGAATGGGAAAGGGGTCACATTTATCAGGTAAATAAAATTGGATCAGCATTCTCATTTTATAGTAAATATATTACAAATATAGATGGTTGGGCTTTGTTACTTGAAGTTAAACGAGCTTCTGTCTTTTATTTTCTTTTTTAAACTATTTTTTCCAGAAAGTGGAATGCTCTGAGTTCATAGTCTTCATTTTTACATATCTAGGTGGACAGTTATCTACAGCAAACGAAAGTTCCCTGTGAAATAAAGGTCATCTTCTTTTCCTCATTTTTGAAGTGCTAAAGGCCAAATATGCTAAATATGCTCTTTTCAATTCCAATACTTTTACTTTCATAATAGATTTTATCATGTATTGTATGGCTTTCTCCACATTAAATTCTTCTTGGGAGAGGTCATACTTAAGACTAGGGGTTTTGCAGTGTTTTAAAAGAAACTACCATGATTTAGTTCTTGTTTAATTTGTTATAATCTTTGTTTATTTGTTTCTTAAGCCCTTTTTTTTTCAGATTTCAGCTCTTTAATTTTTCAAAAGGAAAAGTTAGGTGCAATTTAAAAAGATGAATATTGATCTTTTAATACATCACAGCAAGATTTTGTTAGTGTAGGGCCAGTAAAGCAATCTGAAAAACAGTCTGGAGCAATATGTAATGAAAGTTCAGGATGCCCCACTGAAGAGAGCTGAAGTAAAAGATACATGTAGAAGAGAAATTAAATTATTTCCTGTCAGGCTTGCAACTCGAGCTTTCTCGCTGCTCGCTTACCCCTCCCTAATGGGCACTTCTTTTTTAGTGTTCAACAATCAGAAACGGCTTTTTTTTTCTTCCCCAACTTTAGTTGGAGTTTTGCTAATTACAGATGTGGTAATGTCCTCTGCTGGTGGTGGCCATGTGAGATAGGTAGTAAGAAAGAGGAGCAAAAGGGAAGAGATCAAATTAGGACAATCGCTATGGTCCCTCTGAGAGGTCTGTGGAGATTATCGCAAGAAGAAACACGATGTCTCAAGTATTAACCAGTCAAAGCACAAAAGGTGATGGATGCTGCAATATCAGCTCCCAAGCTACTGAAGTTGAACATCTCACACATCGGAGATGGGCTTCTCAGCCATAGCCCCAGCTCTGTGCACGCATTTACAGCTTTCTCCTTGCTGGGTTTCCTGTGTGCCAACCAGCAGTGAGACAAAAGTGTCACGAGTCATCTGAAGTGAGAGTCAGCCACTTCTGGGCATATTCTGAATCGTGACAGGCTGTCTTTTGTACGGTGGCTGCAGATATTGCCCCCTGATGTGGCCAGGGACAAGGCAGGGGGCAGAGCAGCGCGGGACCTGATGCCTCCAGCGCTCGCTCCTGCTGCACTTGTTGCTTTTTGCCTTCCCCCGCAGCCCCGGCACCCAGGAACAGCGGCTCTGTTGGCTCAGTCTGCAAAGAAAGCTTAGAGAAAGCTCTCCAATGTCGTTTGGCAACGGTCTCTGCCCTTGCCGACTCAAGTATGAAAGGTTGTGCTTAGGTCTGCCCATAAATTACTCCCCAGGCTGTGGAGCTGTGGTGCCTCGGAACGGGGAGGCTTTTTACAGCACAGAATGACAGTGTCAGGTTGAGGGTTGAAATCTTGGGTTTCAAATGAGGAAATTAAGCCAAGCAAAACTAACACATACCCTATTGTATAAAGCCATCGGACAATCAGAGCCTTTTTCGCTGCTTTAAAAAGAAGTAGCTCTTACGACACCAGGAGCTTGGTGGGGTTTTTTCTTTCCTTTCTCTTTCTTTTGCATTTGATCACAAAAGAAATCTTTGAGAACCGTAAACGCCATCACAATGCTACACACTTGCATGTAAGTTGTGAAGATCCTCTTACCATGTAAAGCATGTTGCTGGCTGGTGGCTTCACTCCGGACCGGAATCTGTTATGGGCTTGCACACATTCCTCAATAAACTTTGGATCTCCAACATCAGGCAATGTCGATGGTTCATAGGAGTCAGAGGAACGACAGAAGTGCAGTAAAAGCAGCACACAAGCAGAAAATCTGCTTGTCATGATTCTCAGCCTCTGGTCTTCCAGCTTTATGAGCAGAGTGTTTCAGCTGTACAAGGTGGTTTTAGCTCCACAGGCAGCGTTTTGCTCAGAAGGCTTGGGGGCTGGACTTAGCCATGGTAATTGAGTACGGCACTGGTCACAGGAAATGATTCATATTGCAGGAGCGTTGCTATGAGAATAAGGAAATTAAGCTACAAGTTCGTATCAGAGCTGTGGCAGCTTTCTCTCTCTCTTTTCCCCTTCTTTCTTTAATTGTGATGGGCAAGCTTCTTCTCTCCTGTCCTTTGGGCTTCTTTGGCCCACATCATCCCATCCGTAGCAATCACTATGGATTGCAGTAAAGTTTTGGGTAAATTTTCTGCTTTTCATGAAAAAGCATTGCTGTTAAGGCTGTTACTCTGAGCCAAAACACTATGAGAAATAATTGAACTATGGCTTTTACTACAGTATGAACAGTCACTTTGGTTTTACATCAAGTTATTGGAGGGGTAATTTTGGCTGACAACTGCAATTTAAATATGCTGCATCTATTGACAGGCTTCTCCTGTGTTCACACGTTTGTGCTATGTGTCGCTATTAATTTCACCTCCCAAGCTTTAGCAATTCATCATTCATTCCCTGCAACTCAAGCCCCCAGCAGAGTTGGGTGCTATGAAGGTTGATGCTGTCTCATGCCAGGTGCCCAGTGCCCACAACGGGTTTCACAGGCAGAAGCTGGGAGCTGATGTCCCATGGATGTTGCCTTTTTTTTGCTGAACACAATGTTATATGATATAGAATATCCCTTTGGTTAATTCAGCTCAGCCCTCCCAGCTGTGGCCCCTCCAAACCACTTGCCCACCCCCAGCTTACTTGATCTCTCTACGTATAAAAGACAGCACCAGACAAGAACTGACAACTGTGAAATTAAATATATATCTTCTTACACGGTGACATTTTTCAGCATGTGACAAGAGACCAAACATTTGGGGCTCATTTTTATTCTGTGGGATGCCATGCTCCTTCAGAGCTGCAACATGGCTCAGAATTGGAGTTACTGTGTTCTCAAAACATTACGACTAAGACCAAGAAGGAGAAACAGCTTTAAATATTGATAGCACAGTTATGCATTGCTAATATCAGCCAGTATCTCTTAGCTTGAAAGATGGGTTTGTTTCCCTTACTAACCAATGTATATAATCACAGAATTTTAGGGATTGGAAGGGACCTCAAAGGATCATCTAGTCCAATCCCCCTGCCAGAGCAGGACCACCTAGATCAGATCACACAAGAACGCATCCAGGCGGGTTTTGAACATCTCCAGAGAAGGAGACTCCACAACCTCTCTGGGCAGCCTGTTCCAGTGTTCTGTTACCCTTACTGGGAAGAAGTTCTTCCTCATGTTTAAGCGGAACCTCCTATGTTCCAGTTTACATCCGTTTCCCCTTGTCGTATCATTGGATGCCAGTGAGAAGAGCCTGCCTCCATCCTCATGACAGTCACCCTTTACATATTTATAAACATTAATGAGGTCCCCCCTCAGTCTCCTCTTCTCCAAGCTAAAGAGACCCTGCTCCCTCAGCCTTTCCTCATAAGGAAGATGCTCCACTTCCTTAATCATCCTTATGGCCCTGCTCTGGACTCTCTCATGCAGTTCCTTGTCCTTCTTGAACTGAGGGGCCCAGAACTGGACATAATATTCCAGATGCGGCCTCACCAGGGCAGAGTAGAGGGGGAGGAGAACCTCTCTTGACCTACTAACCACAGCCCTTCTAATACACCCCAGGATGCCATTGGCCTTCTTGGCCACAAGGGCACATTGCTGGCTCACGGTCATCCTGCTG